GAGAACCAGTGTCCTAGTCTCAGTTTCTGCTCTCCGCCCAGGTTCTTCTGGTCATTGTCAGTAGCTTCTACGACCTCCAGGGGTTCCTTCAAAATAGGAAAGGTTAGAGAGAACCTGAAGGAGCTTCTCTAAAGCTCACTCATTCATTCATTTTCATCCACTCACACTTTAAGGACTCTGGAAAGAATAAGATTAGTAATCACTATTTCTACACCGCTGCTTTGGAGTTAGCAGGTCTTCTTTAGACAGGGACAGAAGCAGAGGTGTCAAGTAACGAAGTACAAGTACTTTGTTGCTGTACTTAAGTACACTTTTTAGGTATCTGTACTTCCTATTCCTTACATTTTTAAATCAACCGTTACTCGTTACTCTTGGCTTCGGTTTAATGTTTGTAAATATTTATTTCCCGTCATGTGCTCCATCCAATGCAGATCATTGGCTCCACCCACATCTAGTGAAACTAGTGTGATTGGATGAGTCATAGAACGCAAACACTCATTGGTTAGCTAAAGGAAACAATCAGAAGCAGCAGGTGTTCTTCAAACTGCTAACGTGAATTGTCTATGCCATGCTACAATGTGGGATTCAGAAAAAGATGTTGAAATGTCTGAAAGGTCGGACACAGGCGAGAGCGTATCGGGAGACGGAGACCAACCAGACCTCCCTCATCCTTGGCCCTATCTCAGAGGATTTATAGAAATAGTTGAAAAAAAAAATAAAATATTGTTTTTTTTAAAGGTTACTTTATACTTTTATACTTTAAGTAGTTTTTGGAGCACATACTTTTTCACTTTTACTTGAGTAAAGAGGTTGAGTTTATTCTTCAACTGCAGTAATTATTCTTCTACTTAAGTAACAAATGTCTGTACTTTTGACACCACTGCCTATCGCCACATCCGTCTCAAGGCTGGTTTATACTCAGAAACCAGGTGGTCAGCGTGTGTTGCAGTTAATGCAGATATGCCCCGCCCCCTTCTGCAGACACTCTGCTGCACCTCTCCAAAATTGTAGGTGATCGCAGACAGCAGGCCTCTGATTGGTAAAATTTACATCGCTTTACTCTATGCGTATTTCCTGTTTGGCTCCTTACCGCCTTGTTTTGTTTGTCTGACCGCCATTGTGAGAAACGATTGGTGAAGATGGAGCAGCTAGCAGAGCGAGCTGCGCGAGAACGCTGGGACCCTTTTTCCTCCTGGATCCCCGCTCTTTTTGGCCCTCATGTCCCTCCGTTTTCACACAAACTTGCCCCCACTTCCTCACCACCTCGGTCGTATCTAGACCCACAGCTAGTTCCTGATTGGCCCTCTGGCGTTGAGGTGTGGAATAACATAGTGCAGGCCACGTTTCAATATTTGGCATAAATCAAAAATATCTGCGACAAGCTCACTGCGACACACTGCTGCGGGACGATAACCATAGCCTGGGTGCCAGTCCGAACTTAGTCCCGCCCACAAGGTTTGAGTTCGGGGAAGTTCGGTCTGGCTCTGCTCCATAGTAGCGCGAGTATTATCGCCCACCCTCTGGCGATCCAATCCAATTGTCAGGGCGGGCTTTATACGATGATGGACAGATGATCAACGGTAACGTAATCAACCACGTCACCAAAGCGCGCTTGGGTGACAACAACAATGGCTGCCGCTGGAGAGTTTGGGTGAGTAGATTCTGCTATTAGGTCTGTTCTAGAAGATATCGACAGCAAATTAATTTTAAAAGAGGAACAGAGAAACGCGATCAAGGCTCATCTTCTTATTCTAGGCGTGAAACTGCACGCTTTGATTTTTGTTGACAACAACTATGCGTCGCTTAACATACGTCACGCACTCCATTGCTCTTATTGGTTGTAGGTCTATCCAATTGAGTGCAGAGGCATTTTTTTCCCTGGTTTGTTCGAAACACACCCCATAATCACAGCTCTATGGAGCAGCATCAGACTCATTCTGACTAGAATTGAGTCGGACTACGTCAGGCTACGATAACCAGGCCTTAAGACACAAAACAAAGATGGAATCCTGCCCGCCGTAACTCCCAGAACTTTTGCGTGAATGGGCTGGCTGTGCTGCAGCGCCACCTTGTGATGCAACCATGTCACATCCTTCCACCAAATTTTCCCGTCTGATCTGCAGGGTCTTCTCCTGCTAGATGCTGAAGGAAACACTCCTTTAATGTTCATTCAATCGACAACTAACAGTTCCTTTTAAAAAGTTTTCACTCCCTTTCAGCCTTTCCAACCCCTAACCTTTAGTGATAAGACATCTGAAGCCCGTCTTCCAGGCGTGTGTCAAGTAAAAAGGAGGCGTGTCTAATGAAGCCCCGCCTCCATGCTTCTGCCGTCTTTGGAAAAGCACGTGAGCGGAAACAAGCAATGCCTCACTGCTGTCACTGTTTCATTTCACATATCAGATTTCAAAATAAAGACGCAAAGAGGCGTTCTGCTTGTTGTAGGTAGTTTGGTCGCGTATCAGCAGAATAATCCAAGCAGAATGGCATCAAAAAAGGGAAGAGCTCTTCCATTTGGGAGTCATTAGAAATGACTCGAAACAAGGTTTAATAGGTGTTGTTTTGTTTGGAGCTGGACTTCGAGTCAAGAGTAAAATTCTCCTCTGGGAGATCGATCAATCAATCAATCAATCAATCAATAAAAACACCTCAATGATTCGGTATTACAGAACCATACATGAGGAATCATAAACTACAGACGCCAGCCTGAGTACGACGTTACTAAAATTATTTGACTATTTATCTGACTTCAATGATCTAAATTTAATTTATTCTTTAAATTGTCAAAATTAGTTGATGAAAAAACCGCCTTAAACCAGATACTGTAAAAAATGTCTTATTCTTTAATAAAAACCACCCTAACTCACCCACTAGAAATTCAGCATTTAGTTGTTTGATCAATAATAATCTGACAGAGAGAGAAACCGGCTGGATGCTGTTGGATGAATGAACTTCCGGTTCAAATTTTAAAGGATAAGTCCAAGAAAAAGATCATTTAAAAAACAAGATTTTCACGAATAGAAAACATTTAAATCAGCAGAGGAAATAACATAAAACAACAGTCAGCATTTTAGGAAGATTATCTGGTGGTATAAATATTTTAAATTGGACAATAGTGCAGACATTGATGTTTTCTGATTTTAGAAACCTGAGGGCTGTGTATGTGCTGCAGTATGAATGAATGAATGAATGAATGAATGAATGAATGAATGAATGAATGAATGAATGAATGAATGAATGAATCTTTAGGCAAAGCTTTGGGTTGGAAGGCTTCCTGGTACCATCACTATTAAACTTCTAGTGTCACCAGGTTGTTACCAGAGTTCTCAAACACCTTTCTGAATGCTCTGATATGAGCAGAAGCAGTGAATGGCTCTCAGCGCCCCCCACAGGAGGAGGAGGGTCCTGCATGTTGGGTGATGAATAAAAATCATAGATTAAAATAAACCTGCCTCCAAAACATTTGAAGCTATTTTTAATGTATTTTATTTCATTAGCAGAAACGTGACGTCATCAGGTTTGTTAAACCTCCCAGGTTAAGGAGCAGCTCTGACTGATTGACACCATAAAGAACCTTTAATGCGTTTATCTACATTCAGACCAAAAGGTTTGATTTGGACAGAAAGGATTTTTATAGCTGAGATCATTTCTACTGTTCATCACCACAATCAGAGCTTTTATTCAGCTAAAGTTCATCTGATGTCCTCAGCAGAGCTGACCTCAGCCATCCAGGTCAGAGTCATTCCAAAAAAGTTCAAATCAATCCTCTGGACTTTGTTTCCAAGTTTGAAGACGTTTCTCTTCCATCCAGGAAGATTTTTTAATTCCAAATGTCAGAAATAGCGTTTAGTTCCAGGTTTTATCCAGCAGCCCAACAAAACCTGGTTTTAGTTTAGAAAACATGCAAATAGAAACGGATGAACGGGTCCACCCGTTTGGAATGAGGGTCATTTGGATTCTTCTGTAGCCTGCAATGCTCCATACCTGTCTATGTCTCACCTGTTCCTCATGATGGCATCAGCAGAACTGACCTCCTCTTCATCTATTTGCAATAGAAAAGGTTTTAATCTAACATCCTAGCGGCTTCATTAATTTACACAAACATCATGGTTATGACACCGAGTTTATCATTGAAATGGTCTCAGTTTGGTTTTATTATATTCTGCATATGTAATAAAGCTTTTTATTAAAGGAGTATTTAAAATCAAAGAGAAAGTCTTTGGAAAACTGCTCCCAGGAGGAGCAAACAGGAGGTGTGCTCTTCATATATTACAGCAGGGGGCGCTCTGCTCCTTCAGGGCTCCTAGTTTAAAACTAAAGCTGGACCTCCTTGTTCCACAGACAAAAAGGAAACCTGACCGCAGGAAGCTGTTTAAGACCATCTGACCCCTAATACTTCATTATGTTAAAGATGTGTGTCTGCACCTTGAAGCTCTATCTCTCTGGTTCTTTCCCTGAAAAGAGATCACTCAGGACAAACTCTTTCAATAACATTTCATAATGCATTAAATAACCAGCAGACATGAAAACAGATTCTGATAGAAATTATAATCTTACTCAGATCAGAGAAGTTGCTCAGAGTTACTGAAAGCAGCTGCTCACCTCTCAGGAAGTGGCTTCGATTAACAGTTAAAGAAGCATTTTATACATCTCCAGTCTGACACATTATGACATCATCCTATCATGACATTAGGAATCCATGGCTCCAGCCTTATCAAAATAGGACTTCGCTCTCATTCTATTTCCAAATCTTTGCCACGTGCAGAATGAAGATTATATCCAGACAGAGAAACTGTCCTGATTACATTAAACTATTGTGTAAAAGATCAGTTCTGACACAGAAGGCAGGTATTATTAGGGATTAACAGACTCATATATCCTTAATGATAATTATCCTATCAATTACATCAACAATATTACGAAGAACTTCGGTTTGTCTTTCTGATACCAAAAATTCCGAGGTCATCCTAAACGCAGCAGCCTGGTGTCGCGCCGCCAGCCAATCAGAGAGCAGCAGCGTGAGGGACCGGAAGCAGCGTTTAGAACCATCGAAGCTCTGATGTTTAAGGTAGATTTTTAATTCAGATTCATTCTCTGCGTTTCATCAGCAACTTCTATTGGATATAGATCTACAAACACGGCTTCTCTCCAAAAAACATTCCTGGTTGGAATAACGATCCTGATTGGTCGGCAGAAGGTCAGTGATGGAAAATCATCCGCTCAGTTTTTTCCCTTCATGGATCCAGAAGGAAACTTTATAAACAAACAGCTGAAATAATTTAGATCCAGAGTTAAAATGATCAGACTTTCCCCCAATAATGACGTCATTAAAGGTTTTCACATCTAGGATAATAGATCTAGCAATAAGATGTTAAGGAATTTCCTCTTAAAACAACTTTTCCTAAATTACAAGATATTCAATTTTAAAGGATTATTAAAATAAGAACTAATTAATAATTGACCTTCTGCCTCCAAAGCTAAAGATAAAAATAAGAATAATCATTTAAATATTTCCAACCAAATGATTTCTGACATCAAAGTTTAGGTTCGATACAGAATATTGTTTATTTTGTGTGAAAAACCTTGAGAGTTTGAAACATTGATTCTTTTTTAGGAATTTATTTTTAAATTCTGGTCAGATTTCCTAAACTGGCTGAACTGGGGAGTAAAATCATGGCTGCCCAGTGAAGCAGTGGGTAGCTCTGCTGCTGCAGCCAGAAGGTTCTGGGTTTGATTCCCAGCCTGGAGTCTTTCTGCATGGAGTTAGCATGTTCTCCCTGAGCGACTTCCTCCCACAGTCCTAAATCATGACTGTTGGGTTAATTGGCTTCTCTAAAGTCTCCTTAGGTGTGAGTGTTTGGTTGTCTCTGTGTTTCCCTGACATGGACTGGTGACCTGTCCATGGTGGACCCCGGCTCTAACCCACTGACAGCCAATCACCAGCCCAGCTGGGACGATGGATGATGGATGGATGGATGATGGATGGATGATGGATGGGTAGCCTGACGTAGTCCGACTCAATTCTAGTCAGAATGAGTCTGATGCTGCTCTATAGAGCTGTGATTATGGGGCGTGTTTCGAACGAACCAGGAAAAAAAATGCCTCTGCACTCAATTGGATAGACCTACAACCAATAAGAGCAATGGAGTGCGTGACATATGTTAAGCGACGCATAGTTGTTGTCAACAAAAATCAAAGCGTGCAGTTTCACGCCTAGAATAAGAAGATGAGCCTTGATCGCGTTTCTCTGTTCCTCTTTTAAAATTAATTTGCTGTCGATATCTTCTAGAACAGACCTAATAGCAGAATCTACTCACCTCAACTCTCCAGCGGCAGCCATTGTTGTTGTCACCCAAGCGCGCTTTGGTGATGTGGTTGATTACGTTACTGTTGATCATCTGTCCATCATCGTATAAAGCCCGCCCTGACAATTTGATTGGATCGCCTGACAGGGGGGGCGTTTAATACTCGGTTTATATGGAGAAAAGAGGCCGGGGGACCAAAATTCCCGCCCTAAAACCCTTGGGGGCGGGACTAAGTTGGGAAAAATGGCACCCGGGTTTAAGGGATGGATGGTTAGAGAAATGAATGGGTGGTTTTTGGGGTTTGATGGATGAATGTTTTTTTGAGGGAAAAGGTTTGGGGAAATGGAGGGAGGATGAATGAATGGGGTGGATGATGGATGATGGATGAATGAGGGGATAGGGGGGGGTGGATGTTGGATTTTAAAGGGTTGGTTGGAGGGGAGGGAGGGATGGTTGGATGGTTTGGATCGATGGAGGATAGGTTTAGATGAATGAATGGGTGGGATGGATGTTGGATGATAAATGGGATAGATGGTTGGGATGAGGGAAATGAATGAGGGGATGGAGGGGATGGATGATGGTGGATTGGATGGATGTCGGGGATGGATGGATAGAGGGAATGTTGGATGGAGGGGAGGGGAAGGGATAAATTGATGGTTGGATGGTTTTGGAGGGAAATGAGGGGGATGGATGGATGGATGAGGGGATAAATGAGGGAAAGGATGGGGGTGGGGTTAAATGTTGGATGGAGGGGTTGGTTGATGGGGGGGGAAGGAGGGGAATGTTCGTTGGATGGATGGAAAAATAAATTTTTTTGTTTTGTTGGAGGGGTTGATGGGGGGTTTTTGGGTTGGAGGGAGGGTTTGGGATGGATGGTGATGGAGGGATGGTTGGAGGGGATGGTTTGGTTGGTGGAGGATGGTAGGGATGGGGAGGGTTTTGGAGGGATGGTTGGGAGGGATGGAGGGAAGGGTTTTGGATGGAGGGATGGTTTGGATGGATGGAGGATGGGAGGGAAATGGATGATGGATGGTTAAATGGAGGGAAAGGGAATGGAAGGAAAATGGATAAACGAGGGATGGAATGGATAAGGGAAAGATTGGGGATGGAGGATGGGTTGGAAATGGATGTTTTGGATGGATGGATGAAGGGGAAAGGGGAATGATGGTTAAATTTGATGGATGGATGGATGGTTGATGGATGGATGGTTTGATGGATGGTTTTTTTGGATGATGGATGGATGGATGATGGAGGGAAAATGGTTTGTTTGGATGGTGATGGTGGGGGTTGATAGATGTTTTGATGGATGATGGATGGATGGTGAGGGATGGAGGGGATGATGGATGGGGGATGGTGGAGGGTTTGGATGGGTTGATGGAGGGGGAGGGAAAGATGGGATGGATGGATGATGGATGGATAAAGGGATGGATGGATGGTGGATGATGGTTGGAGGTTGTTGGTTGGTTGTTGGATGGATGGTTGTTGGATGGTTTGGTGGTTGATGGGGGAAAGGGGAATGGGGTTTTTGGTTGGAGGGGTTGGATGGATGATCGAGGGTTTTGGATGATTGATGGATGGTTGTTAGATGGATGGATAAAGGGGGGGGGATGTTGGAAGGAGGGGATGGATGGATGAGGGATGGATGGATGGATGGATGGTTGGATGATGGAGGGGTTGAGGGAATGGATGGATGATGGCTGGATGGAGGGAGGGATGGATGGATGGATGGATGATGGGGATGGGATGGGAGGGGATGATCGATGGTTGGGGGATGGATGGGATGGGGGGATGATGGATGGATGGATGGATGGTTTGGGGGTGGTTGGATGGAGGATGGATGGGGGGAATGGATGATAGATGGATGGATGATGGATGGATGAGGGATGGTTTGGATGGAGGGGATGGATGGATGAGGGGATTGAGGGGATGGAGGGATGAGGGGATGGATGTTGGGGGGGATGATGGATGGAGGGATGGATGGATGATGGAGGGGATGGATGGATGGATGTGGATTGATGGAGGGGTTTGGAGGGGATGGGGGATGGATGGGGGGAGGGTTTTGGATAAAGGGATTGTGGGAGGGGATGGTTGGTTGAGGGGAGGGAGGGGAGGGTTGGTGGTTTGATGGATTTGATGGAAGGAAAATTGATAGTTGGATGGTGTTTATGGTTGGGGAAAGGAGGGTTGGAGGGGATGAGGATGGTTGGCATGGAATGGATGGATTGATTGGATGATGGAAGGAAGGGGAGGGAAATGGATGGAAATTAAGGGAGGGAATCTTATAATAAAATTTTAAAAAAAAAAAAAAAAATGGATGGATGATGGGATGTTTTTGATGGTTTTGGTTTGGATAAATGGAATGGAGGATGTTGGATGGATGGTTGATGGAGGGATGGTTGGATGGAGGGGATAAAGGGGCCATGGATGGATGAGGGATGGAGGGGAATGGTGGATGAGGGGTGGATTTGGATGTTGGAGGGGAAGGTTATGGAGGGTTTGAGGGATTGATGGATGGATGTTAGATGATTGATGGATGGTTGGATGGTTTGGATGGATGGAATGATGGATGGTTGGATGATGGATGGAGGGGTGGATGATGGAGGGAAATGGATGGTGGAAAAAGGGGTTTGGAAAATGGATGTGGTTTGGATGGATGAGGGATGGAGGGAATGGAGGGGATGGATGGATGATGGTTGGATGGGGAAATGGATGGATGATGGATGGATGATGATGGATGGTTGGATAAGGGAAATTGATGGTTTTGGATGGATGGATGAGGGGATGGTATGGAGATGGAGGGGATGATCATGGAAGGAATGGATGATCGATGGATGGAGGGAAAGGGGATGATCGAGGGGATGGAAGGGATGGATGTTCGTGGTTGGGGAAGGATGGGGATGATGGGATGGAGGGTTTGGGGGGGATGACTTTTGGTTGGATGGATGGATGATCGGGGGGATAAATAGGGGGATGATCGAGGGAAATGGATGGAAAAATTGGATGTTGGAGGGGGGGAGGGGAATGATGGATGGATGGATGGGGCGGATGTTTTTTTGGGGATGGATGGATGATCGAGGGTTTGATGGAGGGGAGGGGGATGGATGATGAGGGGGAAGGGATGGTTTAAGGGGTGATGGTTGGGGGAAATGGATGAGGTTGGTGGATGAGGGATGGATGATCGATTTTTTGGATGGATAAGGGTTTGGTTTGGATGGATGGATGGATGAGGGGATGGATGGATGAATGGAGGGGATGAGGGGATGATTGATGGATGGATGGATGGTTTGTTTGGAGGGAAAGGGTTTGGATGTTTTGGTTTGGATGTTGGATGATGGAGGAGGTTGGATGGGGGAAATGGATGGTGGATGGAGGATGGATGATGGATGGAGGTTTGAGGGATGGATGGATGGTTGGATGATGGTTGGATGGATGATGGATGGATGATGGATGGATGGATGATGGATGGATGATGGATGGATGGATGGATGGATGGATGATGGATGGATGATGGATGGATGATGGATGGATGGATGATGGATGGATGATGGATGGATGATGGATGGATGATGGATGGATGGATGATGGATGGATGGATGATGGATGGATGATGGATGGATGGATGATGGATGGATGATGGATGGATGATGGATGGATGGATGATGGATGGATGATGGATGGATGGATGATGGATGGATGATGGATGGATGATGGATGATGGATGGATGGATGATGGATGGATGGATGGATGGATGATGGATGGATGGATGGATGATGGATGATGGATGGATGGATGATGGATGGATGGATGATGGATGGATGGATGATGGATGGATGATGGATGGATGATGGATGATGGATGGATGGATGATGGATGGATGATGGATGGATGATGGATGATGGATGGATGGATGGATGATGGATGATGGATGGATGGATGGATGATGGATGGATGGATGATGGATGGATGGATGATGGATGGATGATGGATGGATGATGGATGGATGGATGATGGATGGATGATGGATGGATGGATGATGGATGGATGGATGATGGATGGATGATGGATGGATGATGGATGATGGTGAAAACATTTAGGAACATTTTTTTCAGATTTAGGAATTTTAAAACTTTTTTTCTGTTGGAAAAATAACTTTGATTTTTTTTTCTAATCCAACCGGCTGTCAGATTATTGGACCATTTAGATGTACACATGTAAGTGTATTATAATTATAAATATAGTTATTTGATGGTCTGTCTTTTTAATTTGCTGGATTATAATCCATCCATGTTCTGCCAGCTCACTGATTATCTGCTAAGATGTTGTGTTGAATTGAATCACATTTCAACAAAATGCCAATCGCTGTGATTGGTCCGTCAGACCTCAGCTGAGCCAATCAGAGCGCTGGGTTTTATTTTGAAGGCGGATTTTCTCTGCCGCTGTGCTGAAGGTCAAACCGATTTAGTCTGAACCAGATTTTTCTGCTTCTCTCCATGAATTGATAACCGAGGATTAGCAGGAAGTGCCGATCAGTTGCAGGTAAACATTACGTCACAGTTCAAAGGTCACCACAGGTACAATGAATCGGCGCTCCACAGAGCAAAGGTTAAGCTATTGTTTCCAATTATTTCATTTGTAGTTTGAATTTTTCTCCCTTTATTAGCTTCAAAAATCTAAAGCGATTGAAAATAGATTCTAAACAGCATAAAATGTGTTTTTTTTTTCTTCTAGTTTAATTTTCTCCCATTTTAGAAAAAAATGATCAATGAGAACAGAGAGGAAGTTAGTCTGAATATCTGGATGTCCTGGTTCTAGTTTCAGAGAGCAGGACAGACTGGGACCCAACGGACTGGGACAGACTGGAACTGGGACAGACTGGGACAAAATCGACTGGGACTGACTGGGACCCAACAGACTGGGACAGACTGGAACTGGGACAGACTGGGACAAAATCGACTGGGACTGACTGGGACCCAACAGACTGGGACAGACTGGAACTGGGACAGACTGGAACTGGGACAGACTGGGACAAAATCGACTGGGACTGACTGGGACCCAACAGACTGGGACAGACTGGAACTGGGACAGACTGGAACTGGGACAGACTGGGACAAAATCGACTGGGACTGACTGGGACCCAACAGACTGGGACAGACTGGAACTGGGACAGACTGGAACTGGGACAGACTGGGACAAAATCGACTGGGACTGACTGGGACCCAACAGACTGGGACAGACTGGGACTGTGTTGGGGGGGGTCTGCTGGGTTGTCCTCCACCATGATGTTGTTTCCTTAGTGTCCTTTGAAATAAACTCAAAGCATTTTCTAATGAAGTTCATTGATTGATCCAGTGGAGCAGGAAGCTCCTCCCCCTGACGCTGTGACGGCAGGTTCTGCCGGTAGGGACGCCACTTGGCTCCGCCCAGACCCCTCTGAGGACCACATAAATGGAGGTTCTGTTTTCCCTGCAGCACCCAGATGGAGAAGGAGGTCCAGAGGGAATTTATCTACTGCAGCGGAGCCGCCACGGAGGTTCTGAAGGTCGGCTCCTCTCACCTCTCAGGCCGAGACGTGCTCTTCCTCATCATCCCAGGTGAGTCTTCATTCAGAGACCCGGGGCTGCCTTCCTACTCTGGGGTTCCGGGATCACTGGAGGACCTAAAGCTGGAGGACATGAAGGGGTCTCTGTTGTCCTCAGGTAACCCCGGGATGGTGGAGTTCTACCGGAGCTTCATGCAGACCCTGCACAGCCTGCTGGGACGTCCCGTTTGGGCCGTGAGCCACGCCGGCCACTGTGCTCCACCGGACTCCATGGACATGGTAGAAGGTAGGAGAAGCTTTTCATCCAGACTTTCCTCCCAGCTCAGACCTGAGAACCAGGTGGTCTCTCCTTGTGGTTCAGACGCCTCGGCGGCAGCGAAGCGCGACGTGTTCGGTCTGGATGGACAGGTCCAACACAAGCTGGCCTTCCTCCACCAACACGTTCCCAGAGGAACTGCCTTGGTTCTCGTTGGACACTCCATCGGCTGCTACATGATCCTGGAGATGATGAGGAGGGACCCGGAGCTGAAGGTACCCTCCATGACCCAGACCCAGACCTGGACTCAGGTCTAGATAGCTGTTCCTTCCAGGTTCTGCCCTGAAGGCCTCTGCTTTGTCCTGGCTGCAGGTTCTGAAGGCCGTGCTGCTGTTCCCCACCATCGAGCGGATGGCGCAGAGCCCCCAGGGGAAGGTCATGACCCCCCTGATGTGTCAGCTGCGCTACCTGCTCTACCTGCCGCTCTTCCTGCTGTCTCTGCTGCCGCATGGCGTCATGGCGCGGCTCGTCAGGCTGATGTTCAGCAGCATCCCCGATCTGGACCCGTGTGTCCTCCAGCCTTCGGTGGAGATGCTGGGTTCAGGAGACTGTCCAGGTAACACATTAATGTCAGACTGACTCAGTTTTACTTTGTTTTCATCCAGAAACCTGAGCTGTTTTGATGAGCTCTGATAGCTCAGAGAGAAAAGCAGCTGATCGCAGACTGTTCTCTGCATCCAGTCTGTTCTCTACATCCAGTCTGTTCTCTACATCCAGTCTGTTCTCTGCATCCAGTCTGTTCTCTACATCCAGTCTGTTCTCTACATCCAGTCTGTTCTCTACATCCAGTCTGTTCTCTACATCCAGTCTGTTCTCTACATCCAGACTGTTCTCTACATCCAGACTGTTCTCTACATCCAGTCTGTTCTCTACATCCAGTCTGTTCTCTACATCCAGTCTGTTCTCTACATCCAGACTGTTCTCTACATCCAGTCTGTTCTCTACATCCAGTCTGTTCTCTGCATCCAGTCTGTTCTCTACATCCAGTCTGTTCTCTACATCCAGTCTGTTCTCTGCATCCAGTCTGTTCTCTACATCCAGTCTGTTCTCTACATCCAGTCTGTTCTCTACATCCAGACTGTTCTCTACATCCAGTCTGTTCTCTACATCCAGACTGTTCTCTACATCCAGACTGTTCTCTACATCCAGTCTGTTCTCTACATCCAGTCTGTTCTCTACATCCAGACTGTTCTCTACATCCAGACTGTTCTCTACATCCAGTCTGTTCTCTACATCCAGACTGTTCTCTACATCCAGTCTGTTCTCTACATCCAGACTGTTCTCTACATCCAGACTGTTCTCTACATCCAGTCTGTTCTCTACATCCAGACTGTTCTCTACATCCAGACTGTTCTCTACATCCAGACTGTTCTCTACATCCAGACTGTTCTCTACATCCAGTCTGTTCTCTACATCCAGACTGTTCTCTACATCCAGACTGTTCTCTACATCCAGACTGTTCTCTACATCCAGTCTGTTCTCTACATCCAGACTGTTCTCTACATCCAGTCTGTTCTCTACATCCAGTCTGTTCTCTACATCCAGACTGTTCTCTACATCCAGACTGTTCTCTACATCCAGTCTGTTCTCTACATCCAGACTGTTCTCTACATCCAGTCTGTTCTCTACATCCAGACTGTTCTCTACATCCAGACTGTTCTCTACATCCAGTCTGTTCTCTACATCCAGACTGTTCTCTACATCCAGACTGTTCTCTACATCCAGACTGTTCTCTACATCCAGTCTGTTCTCTACATCCAGACTGTTCTCTACATCCAGTCTGTTCTCTACATCCAGTCTGTTCTCTACATCCAGACTGTTCTCTACATCCAGACTGTTCTCTACATCCAGACTGTTCTCTACATCCAGTCTGTTCTCTACATCCAGTCTGTTCTCTACATCCAGTCTGTTCTCTACATCCAGACTGTTCTCTACATCCAGACTGTTCTCTACATCCAGACTGTTCTCTACATCCAGACTGTTCTCTACATCCAGTCTGTTCTCTACATCCAGTCTGTTCTCTACATCCAGACTGTTCTCTACATCCAGTCTGTTCTCTACATCCAGTCTGTTCTCTACATCCAGACTGTTCTCTACATCCAGACTGTTCTCTACATCCAGTCTGTTCTCTACATCCAGTCTGTTCTCTACATCCAGACTGTTCTCTACATCCAGTCTGTTCTCTACATCCAGTCTGTTCTCTACATTCTCTACATCCAGTCTGTTCTCTACATTCTCTACATCCAGTCTGTTCTCTACATCCAGTCTGTTCTCTACATCCAGACTGTTCTCTACATCCAGTCTGTTCTCTACATCCAGACTGTTCTCTACATCCAGACTGTTCTCTACATCCAGTCTGTTCTCTACATCCAGACTGTTCTCTACATCCAGTCTGTTCTCTACATCCAGACTGTTCTCTACATCCAGTCTGTTCTCTACATCCAGACTGTTCTCTACATCCAGACTGTTCTCTACATCCAGACTGTTCTCTACATCCAGTCTGTTCTCTACATCCAGTCTGTTCTCTACATCCAGTCTGTTCTCTACATCCAGACTGTTCTCTACATCCAGTCTGTTCTCTACATCCAGACTGTTCTCTACATCCAGTCTGTTCTCTACATCCAGACTGTTCTCTACATCCAGACTGTTCTCTACATCCAGACTGTTCTCTACATCCAGTCTGTTCTCTACATCCAGACTGTTCTCTACATCCAGACTGTTCTCTACATCCAGACTGTTCTCTACATCCAGACTGTTCTCTACATCCAGTCTGTTCTCTACATCCAGACTGTTCTCTACATCCAGACTGTTCTCTACATCCAGTCTGTTCTCTACATCCAGTCTGTTCTCTACATCCAGACTGTTCTCTACATCCAGACTGTTCTCTACATCCAGTCTACATCCAGTCTGTTCTCTACATCCAGACTGTTCTCTACATCCAGACTGTTCTCTACATCCAGACTGTTCTCTACATCCAGACTGTTCTCTACATCCAGTCTGCATCCAGACTGTTCTCTACATCCAGACTGTTCTCTACATCCAGACTGTTCTCTACATCCAGACTGTTCTCTACATCCAGACTGTTCTCTACATCCAGTCTGTTCTCTACATCCAGACTGTTCTCTACATCCAGACTGTTCTCTACATCCAGACTGTTCTCTACATCCAGACTGTTCTCTACATCCAGTCTGTTCTCTACATCCAGACTGTTCTCTACATCCAGTCTGTTCTCTACATCCAGACTGTTCTCTACATCCAGTCTGTTCTCTACATCCAGACTGTTCTCTACATCCAGTCTGTTCTCTACATCCAGACTGTTCTCTACATCCAGACTGTTCTCTACATCCAGTCTGTTCTCTACATCCAGACTGTTCTCTACATCCAGTCTGTTCTCTACATCCAGACTGTTCTCTACATTCTCTACATCCAGACTGTTCTCTACATCCAGTCTGTTCTCTACATCCAGACTGTTCTCTACATCCAGTCTGTTCTCTACATCCAGACTGTTCTCTACATCCAGACTGTTCTCTACATCCAGACTGTTCTCTACATCCAGTCTGTTCTCTACATCCAGACTGTTCTCTACATCCAGTCTGTTCTCTACATCCAGACTGTTCTCTACATCCAGACTGTTCTCTACATTCTCTACATCCAGACTGTTCTCTACATCCAGACTGTTCTCTACATCCAGACTGTTCTCTACATCCAGACTGTTCTCTGCATCCAGTCTGTTCTCTACATCCAGACTGTTCTCTACATCCAGTCTGTTCTCTACATCCAGTCTGTTCTCTACATCCAGTCTGTTCTCTACATCCAGACTGTTCTCTACATCCAGTCTGTTCTCTACATCCAGACTGTTCTCTACATCCAGTCTGTTCTCTACATCCAGTCTGTTCTCTACATCCAGTCTGTTCTCTACATCCAGACTGTTCTCTACATCCAGTCTGTTCTCTACATCCAGTCTGTTCTCTACATCCAGTCTGTTCTCTACATCCAGACTGTTCTCTACATCCAGTCTGTTCTCTACATCCAGACTGTTCTCTACATCCAGACTGTTCTCTACATCCAGACTGTTCTCTACATCCAGTCTGTTCTCTACATCCAGACTGTTCTCTACATCCAGACTGTTCTCTACATCCAGTCTGTTCTCTACATCCAGACTGTTCTCTACATCCAGTCTGTTCTCTACATCCAGTCTGTTCTCTACATCCAGTCTGTTCTCTACATCCAGACTGTTCTCTACATCCAGTCTGTTCTCTACATCCAGTCTGTTCTCTACATCCAGACTGTTCTCTACATCCAGTCTGTTCTCTACATCCAGTCTGTTCTCTACATCCAGACTGTTCTCTACATCCAGTCTGTTCTCTACATCCAGACTGTTCTCTACATCCAGTCTGTTCTCTACATCCAGACTGTTCTCTACATCCAGTCTGTTCTCTACATCCAGTCTGTTCTCTACATCCAGACTGTTCTCTACATCCAGTCTGTTCTCTACATCCAGACTGTTCTCTACATCCAGACTGTTCTCTACATCCAGTCTGTTCTCTACATCCAGTCTGTTCTCTACATCCAGACTGTTCTCTACATCCAGTCTGTTCTCTACATCCAGACTGTTCTCTACATCCAGACTGTTCTCTACATCCAGACTGTTCTCTACATCCAGTCTGTTCTCTACATCCAGTCTGTTCTCTACATCCAGGCTGTTCTCTACATCCAGTCTGTTCTCTACATCCAGTCTGTTCTCTACATCCAGTCTGTTCTCTACATCCAGACTGTTCTCTACATCCAGACTGTTCTCTACATCCAGACTGTTCTCTACAGACTGTTCTCTACATCCAGTCTGTTCTCTACATCCAGTCTGTTCTCTACATCCAGACTGTTCTCTACATCCAGACTGTTCTCTACAAAGAAAAACTATTTGTTTTTATTTTATTGGCTCCTCAGAAAGCAGAAAAGATTCCAGTTCTATTTTATTTTATTGCCTAATGAATGAAATATTTTCATATACCCTCTGCAATGCCCTCGCTGACCACTAGGGGTTTGGAATCAGCGATCTAAGGGCGGGACGATCCAGTGGCCCTAACTACTAGGGGTTTGGGACGGCACTTAATGGGGCGGAGCCGCAAACAGAGGCCTTAGGGGCCTGTTAGTGATTCAGCCGAGGATGTTGAAGAGCGTCTTCATCATGGGGTCGTTGGTCAGGGTTATGAAGATTAAAGAATCACCTAGAAGTTCAAATAGCTTTAATTTCATTTTTTTACAGCAAAGAATCCAATCACTTTATGAAATAAATCAGCCAATCAGAATCCAGCGGCAGTGAAGAACCGGATCAGAACCGGCGTCCTACAGAAACACGGAACCATAGAGACACGGCTGATCAGGTGGTGGAACCTGCGGTTCTGGAACAGATTCTGCTGTAGAAGGTTTAGTGGTTCTGCCTGAATTTTTCCGGTTCTGTTGGTGGAACCGGACCCGTCTTCATGGTCGGGTTCTTCTGATCTTCCAGAACCTCCTGTGATGTTCTGCTTTTTGTTTCCTGCTGCAGTGAACGCTTTGTACCTAGGAGGGCAGGAAATGAGGATGGTTCTGGAGAGAGACGACGTGACGATCCAGAAGAACCTGGACAAGGTGAGAGAGCATCTGTCCTCCTTTTTGGACCCAGAGGACGGGTTCCGTTCTGGAGACTCAAACACTTCCTGTTCCTCAGCTCCTGTTTTACTACGGAGTGTCGGACCACTGGTGCCCCGTCACCTACTTCCAGGACATCAGGAGGGATTTCCCACATGGAGACTTGCGGCTGTGTGAGAAAGGCATCCGGCACGCCTTTGTTCTGGACGCAGGTCGGGACGTGGCTCAGATGGTGGCGGAGTGGACCCGTGGATCTCTGAGGGGATGAGGGTCAGGATTACAACCTGCCAGACAAAACCCAGGGGAAAATACCCAGGTTCTAGCCAGGACGGCAGACCGGTCCGGTCCGGTCCGGTCCGGTTCCGGTGATCGGAACATTTGCCTGCTTTTAGTTCTGTTCTACGGAAGCCCAGCAGGGACACTAATGAGGAGCAATTATCAAATCATTGTGATTATTGAATGTTTGGATCATTTATTCCTTATTTTAATATAATTGATTATAAAAAGAGGAAAATAAAACGCGTCTGAATATTTATTAAAAAACGGGTCGTTTACAACATGGCTGCCTGAGAGGAAGAGCCTCATCTGACCAAAACCCAGCAGGGACTGGTTCCTCCTGGTTCCTCCTGGTTCCTGCTGGTTCCTGCTGGTTCCTGCTGGTTCCTCCTGGTTCCTCCTCATCCTAGGAGGTGTGTCTGTCATCCTAGGAGGATGAACCCCCCTGAGGGAAACTGGAAGTCATCATGAACCAGTCAAAACCTTCCAGAACCTCCAGGTCCAGTTTCTACAGAATCTCATCAGTGAGAATCATAGAAAACCTGAAAACTGTCAGTTAAATGTTTCACTTCCTGTCATCCATCCAAGGGTCACTTCCTGTGACCTTTGGATGGATCCCTACTGGTTCTGTAGGGATCCTGCATCAAAGCCCGGATCCCAACAGAACCAGAACTCGGAATGGTCCAAAGTGTCATTGTTACTTTGCAGCATTTCAGCGCTGCTGCCTCTGTGTTTCCTAAAGGATAAAAATCGTCCACAGCACCCCCTGCTGGTCAGGTCTGATGTCTGGTTCTGACCCAACAGCTGCTTCCTTCAATAGAGAAACACTGAATGAAGTAAACAGAACCTTCCAGCTTTCAGAACCAGCCGGCCTGAACCTCACAAAGTCAAATATAGATGATTACAAAATAAAGATTATTAGGAAGAGTTCTGACCCGTCTGCCAGGGTTCCAGACCCTCTGACTAGAAACCTGGGTCTCTTTGGTTCTGAACATCTCCTCTAGAGTCTCTTCAGTTTCAACTGCATCCAGAAGCTAAACTGCATCAGCACCATCTTGATGCAGCTACCAGGCAGTACCCTGGTTCTGGTTCTGGATGGGTTAAAGGTTGATCAGAGTCTCCTCCTCTTCTGGCTCGGTTGGCCCGCTGGCCGTCTGTTCCGTCAGTAGAGGAAGAGGCGGTTCTGTGGGACAAGCGGGGACCTGCGGGACGGCGGGTCGGTCGATGGGATGGAAGAGGAAGCAGTAGGCTCCTGGCTGGCAGCTGTTCTTTACACTCAGAGCCAGGTCCGACGGAACCACCGGCTGCAGAACCCCGTCCATATAGATGCTCAGCGTGTAGGAGTCTGAACAACAGAGACACATTTGGATCAGAACCACAGCCGCTCAGTGACCCCACACCGTAGAACCTCAACACAGAACCTCCCCCATAGAACATCCCCCATAGAACCTCCCCCATAGAACCTCCCCCGTCGAACCTCCCACGTAGAACCTCCCCCATCGAACCTCCCCCATAGAACATCCCCCATAGAACCTCCCCCATAGAACCTCCCCCGTAGAACCTCCCCCATCGAACCTCCCCCATAGAACATCCCCCATAGAACCTCCCACGTAGAACCTCCCCCATAGAACATCCCCCATAGAACATCCCCCATAGAACATCCCCCGTAGAACCTCCCCCATCGAACCTCCCCCATAGAACATCCCCCATAGAACATCCCCCATAGAACCTCCCACGTAGAACCTCCCCCATCGAACCTCCCCCATAGAACATCCCCCATAGAACATCCCCCGTAGAACCTCCCCCATCGAACCTCCCCCATAGAACATCCCCCATAGAACCTCCCCCATAGAACCTCCCCCATCGAACCTCCCCCATAGAACATCCCCCATAGAACCTCCCCCGTAGAACCTCCCCCATCGAACCTCCCCCGTAGAACATCCCCCATAGAACATCCCCCATAGAACATCCCCCATAGAACCTCCCCCGTAGAACCTCCCCCATCGAACCTCCCCCATCGAACCTCCCCCATAGAACATCCCCCGTAGAACCTCCCCCATCGAACCTCCCCCATAGAACCTCCCCCATCGAACCTCCCCCATAGAACATCCCCCATAGAACCTCCCCCATAGAACATCCCCCATAGAACCTCCCCCGTAGAACCTCCCCCATCGAACCTCCCCCGTAGAACATCCCCCATAGAACATCCCCCATAGAACATCCCCCATAGAACCTCCCCCGTAGAACCTCCCCCATCGAACCTCCCCCATCGAACCTCCCCCATAGAACATCCCCCGTAGAACCTCCCCCATCGAACCTCCCCCATAGAACCTCCCCCATCGAACCTCCCCCATAGAACATCCCCCATAGAACCTCCCCCGTAGAACCTCCCCCATCGAACCTCCACCATAGAACATCCCCCGTAGAACCTCCCCCATCGAACCTCCCCCATAGAACATCCCCCGTAGAACCTCCCCCATCGAACCTCCCCCATAGAACCTCCCCCATCGAACCTCCCCCATAGAACATCCCCCATAGAACCTCCCCCGTAGAACCTCCCCCATCGAACCTCCACCATAGAACATCCCCCGTAGAACCTCCCCCATCGAACCTCCCCCATAGAACATCCCCCGTAGAACCTCCCCCATCGAACCTCCCCCATAGAACCTCCCCCATCGAACCTCCCCCATAGAACATCCACCATAGAACCTCCCCCGTAGAACCTCCCCCATCGAACCTCCCCCATAGAACCTCCCCCATCGAACCTCCCCCATAGAACATCCCCCATAGAACCTCCCCCGTAGAACCTCCCCCATCGAACCTCCACCATAGAACATCCCCCGTAGAACCTCCCCCATCGAACCTCCCCCATCGAACCTCCCCCATCGAACCTCCCCCATCGAACCTCCCCCATCGAACCTCCCCCGTAGAACCTCCCCCATCGAACCTCCCCCATCGAACCTCCCCAATAGAACATCCCCCATAGAACCTCCCACGTAGAACCTCCCCCATAGAACATCCCCCATAGAACATCCCCCATAGAACATCCCCCATAGAACCTCCCACGTAGAACATCCCCCATCGAACCTCCCCCATAGAACCTCCCCCATCGAACCTCCCCCGTAGAACCTCCCCCATCGAACCTCCCCCATAGAACATCCCCCATAGAACCTCCCCCATAGAACCTCCCCCATCGAACCTCCCCCATAGAACATCCCCCATTGAACCTCCCCCGTAGAACCTCCCCCATCGAACCTCCCCCGTAGAACATCCCCCATAGAACATCCCCCATAGAACATCCCCCGTAGAACCTCCCCCGTAGAACCTCCCCCATCGAACCTCCCCCATCGAACCTCCCCCATAGAACATCCCCCGTAGAACCTCCCCCATCGAACCTCCCCCATAGAACCTCCCCCATAGAACCTCCCCCATCGAACCTCCCCCATAGAAGCTCCCCCGTAGAACCTCCCCCATCGAACCTCCACCATAGAACATCCCCCGTAGAACCCCCCCCATCGAACCTCCCCCATAGAACCTCCCCCATAGAACATCCCCCGTAGAACCTCCCTCATCGAACCTCCCCCATCGAACCTCCCCCATAGAACCTCCCCCATCGAACCTCCCCCATAGAACATCCCCCATAGAACATCCCCCGTAGAACCTCCCCCATCGAACCTCCCCCATCGAACCTCCCCCATAGAACCTCCCCCATCGAACCTCCCCCATCGAACCTCCCCCATCGAACCTCCCCCATCGAACCTCCCCCATCGAACCTCCCCCATCGAACCTCCCCCATAGAACCTCCCCCATCGAACCTCTGGTTCCTTTCCAGAGGAACACCCATCAAACAGCCCACCACGGGGCTGCAGCCTCCGTCACCTTTAGATTCCAGCTCAGCTCGTTCTGCATAGAAACCCTCCCAGAAACAGGAAGTGATGTCAGAGACGGTACCTTGTTCAAAGCGTGCGGCGCACTGCTCGGTCAGCTCCTTGATGGTCATGGAGGGGACGACACCCAGAGTTTTGGGGTCAGCACCAATCTCAGGACAGTACACGGTGAGGAAGTCCTGCAGAAGCAACAAACCGTGGATCCATTAGGTTCTGAGTAGCAGAACTCTGAGTCCCTGAAGTTCTGGTTCTGTGTGTTTGTACCCGAACAGAACCCTGGCCCTCTCGCTCCTGGTTGAGCGTCCGCCGTCTCTCCCAGCGGTGGATGGAGTCCTGAACCTCTCTGCTCAGCTGCCGCGTCGCTGACCTCTGCTGGTCAAACGTCTTGATGTGCTCCAGCGCCCCATAGGTGGTGGTCAGATAGTAGGAACCTGAACCCAGAGAGGGGAGAGGTGCGTTCAGGGACAAAGCCTCAACATCGCATAATATAACCCTCCTTTTATGGGGGGACCCTACAGGTTCTCACCCTCTCCCAGCGTTAAGGCGGGGTCCATCAACTCCATCATGTACTCCACGTCCAGCTGCAAGGCGGCCAGGTTGGATCTGGCCAGGACGTACATCATTACAGGAAGGAAGTCATCGGCGCCGTGAGACCGCCCTGTTCAGAGACCACCCGTTAGATCAGAGCTGTCCAGCGGCGGCCCTCCATGGCCCCCATCCTGCAGGTTTCTCCTCAGGCAGGTCAACAGACCCACTGAAAAACCATCAGAACAGTATCTATTTATTCACTGGATCGCTGATTGCCTGTTGGTAGTATGGGGTGGAGGGAAGCCACCGGCCGCCATATTGGTACTCCCTAGTTAGAGCGGTTAGAATGTAAACAATCGGTGCGCTACAGCATCGAACAACGGTGATGTTTTCATTTTTAGGGGGACTTAAGACTTTTGAAATAAAGATAAATTCATCAGTTTGACCCAGACTGGCTGTTTCATAGCATCAGTAGATTAACTTTAACTTAGAATAAAAAATAGACCCATTACACTGCAGAGTCATTATGAAACCAATAAAGTCTATAAATCATGTAATATAACATATTATACAAAATCCATCACGATAAAACGATTGTGTTAATGGAGCAGATGATCCAAAAGTGCTAAATTAATGATGTCCATGTAATATACATGCATTTATTACATTTTTTACATCTTACAGAGAATTTCTAAATTTAGCATCAAACTG